TTTAGGCAAAATGCTATTACGAATTTTTCGGATAAACAATTAGATATGCTAGAAATTATGCAAGCTTTTAGAAATACGAGAATGATTGATAAGCGTCCGTTAGGGGACCAAAAATCTATTTTCAACAAATTTAGCCAAATGTATACACCCTCAATTTCTGATTGGTTTAAAGAGATAAATTTTTGGGAATTATGGTTTAAGTTAATTACTATTATGGTAGCACTAAAATGGGCCTGGAAATTATATAATTATTATTATAGACGCATAGTTAAAAAAGAAATTAAAAATATTCTAATTTCCAAATTTCAGGCGGAGAGGATATCGAAAGTGGAAATGGAAGAAATTAGAGATGAGAAAAAGATAACTAGAGATGAAAGAAGGTGGTAAGGAAGGAACACAAGACCGTTGGGGGTCAAGGATGAATCACTCTCAGTTATATTTAAGATTAGCTTTTCCTTCATTCTTTGTCACTTTATTCACTTAATACACTTTATGGAAAAACTTTCTCGCTTTTAAATATTTTTGTAATTGTTTTATTGAATAAAATATTTATTTAATTTCTGTTTATTATTTATTAATAATAAATCTATTTAATTAATTTACACTTAAATTAATTAAATATAATTCATTATCAATAGACAACTTGGATTAGATTGTTCTTTTGATAATTACCTTCATTAGCTTGGGATTAAATTCCATCGTTGCTGCTGGCATATTCGGCAGACGCTCCCGCAAGGCTTTAAGTTTTGGTGTAGTTGGGCGTTTTTTCAATTTGACATTGAGGTTGTTGGTAATAGGCAGTTGGTATAGTTTGACCGGTTGGGGTCAGTTGAGCGTGGCCGTTTGAGCGTGGCCGGTTGAGCGGTGCCGATTGAGCGTGAGGACAGTTGAGCGTGGGCCTGTTGAGCGTGGGCCGTTTATGCGTGGCCAGTTGAGCGTACCTCGATAACTGGCCAGTTGAGCGTCAATACCTAAAATAACTACAACAAATGCCTATGTGGCCGAAAGATTTATTCGGAAATCTAAAACTAGAACATAAAAACTTAGTAGCCAAATAACTTTTTGCCTGCCGCCCATGGAATCATCTCTATTTCATCAAAACAAGATTGCTCAAATTGTTAGATCACGATGATTGATCCCATTTGTTTCAGCTCAAGCTATTCTAATTCGTTACTCGAATTTTCCGCGAATATGTATGTATGAGCTTGCCGCTTATGGATTTTTGATAATTGGGGACCTGGGATAAGTGATTATACATTTGTACATTACTCGTGATTATACATTACTCGTAAATTGGTCGAAGTACGATACATGTACGAGCAACGAGTACGAGTTAAGAACCCGTTAATGATTAGGAAATCGATTTTTTCAATAGATATTGATAATTTTAACGATTTTTGGAAAATCCCGCAATCCCGCGCGGGATCCCGCAAATTTAAAATGCGGGATTTTGCGGGAGTGCGGGATTTTGCGGGATTTATCCCGCGGGATCCCGTCCCGCAAAGATTTTAAAAAAATTTTTATCCCGCGGGATCCCGCAAATGCGATTTTGCCGGTCTCTAATTGATAGCACACTTACAAGCTGAAGCTTTATATCAAAATAAAGATCTTAAAAATTTGTTAAAAACGATAATAGATCTCATGTGTCACAATATAGATAAGGACGTTAAAAGAGATGTAATTAATACCCAAGATCCAACTCTTTTTATAAGAGAAAATTTAGGGTCAGAATTGTTAGAAGGAAGATGGATAGCGAATAATTACTTAGAATATTGGTATTGCTCACCAGTAAATTTCACTTGGACCAATAGTCTAACGAGTAAGTGTTATAAAGATATTCCTTTGAATATCAGTATCGATCAATTAGGAAAGGAATGGATCAAAGGTTATATTAATCCTGTTACTCATATATTTTCGGAAAATTCGGCGTTAGGGCCATGTAATGAATTTCAATATATTAGTACAAAAATTAATGAGAAAATCATTACCATAAATCAGTTAACTGGTCAAGTTATGCAAATAAGAAATATAGAGATAAAGAACATAAATAATAATATATGGAAAAGTAAATTACCCGAATTTTCATTGCAAATATTTAGGCAAAATGCTATTACGAATTTTTCGGATAAACAATTAGATATGCTAGAAATTATGCAAGCTTTTAGAAATACGAGAATGATTGATAAGCGTCCGTTAGGGGACCAAAAATCTATTTTCAACAAATTTAGCCAAATGTATACACCCTCAATTTCTGATTGGTTTAAAGAGATAAATTTTTGGGAATTATGGTTTAAGTTAATTACTATTATGGTAGCACTAAAATGGGCCTGGAAATTATATAATTATTATTATAGACGCATAGTTAAAAAAGAAATTAAAAATATTCTAATTTCCAAATTTCAGGCGGAGAGGATATCGAAAGTGGAAATGGAAGAAATTAGAGATGAGAAAAAGATAACTAGAGATGAAAGAAGGTGGTAAGGAAGGAACACAAGACCGTTGGGGGTCAAGGATGAATCACTCTCAGTTATATTTAAGATTAGCTTTTCCTTCATTCTTTGTCACTTTATTCACTTAATACACTTTATGGAAAAACTTTCTCGCTTTTAAATATTTTTGTAATTGTTTTAGTGAATAAAATATTTATTTAATTTCTGTTTATTATTTATTAATAATAAATCTATTTATTTAATTTGCACTTAAATTAATTAAATATAATTCATTATCAATAGACAACTTGGATTAGATTGTTCTTTTGATAAATACCTTCATTAGCTGGGGATTAAATTCCATCGTTGCTGCTGGCATATTCGGCAGACGCTCCCGCAAGGCTTTAAGTTTTGGTGTAGTTGGGCGTTTTTTCAATTTGACATTGAGGTTGTTGGTAATAGGCAGTTAGTATAGTTTGACCGGTTGGGGTCAGTTGAGCGTGGCCGTTTGAGCGTGGCCGGTTGAGCGTGGCCGATTGAGCGTGAGGACAGTTGAGCGTGGGCCTGTTGAGCGTGGGCCGTTTATGCGTGGCCAGTTGAGCGTACCTCGATAACTGGCCAGTTGAGCGTCAATACCTAAAATAACTACAACAAATGCCTATGTGGCCGAAAGATTTATTCGGAAATCTAAAACTAGAACATAAAAACTTAGTAGCCAAATAACTTTTTGTCTTACGCAGAATTAATATGATCAAAAACAAAATCGTGTCCTGTTTTAATCCGGTAAAGTCCGGCAGAAATTATCCGGATTCCGGACCGGACTCCGGTTTTTTCCGGATTTTTCAAAAAAATTTTTCATTAATTTTTGTGTTAAAATGTTGTAAGTCACAAATCCGCTGTAAAAAATTTGCCGGACCCGGATTCCGGATTTGCAATTAGAGCCGGACCGGATCCGGCCTGATTTTTCCGGATTAATCCGGTCCGGAAAAAATCCGGAAATCGGAAAAAACCCCGGATTTGGGACCCGGACTCTGGAAATATCCGGTCGGATCCGGTCCGGAGCCGGGCACTAGTGATAATATATTGACGCTCAACCGGCCAATATACAAGGTACGCTCAACTGGCCACGCTCAAACGGCCCACGCTCAACTGGCCCACGCTCAACTGTCTTCACGCTCAATCGGCCACGCTCAACTGGCTACGCTCAAACGGCCACGCTCAACAGGCCCGTTCCGTAGTTTGACGTGGTTGTCCAAGATCGTTAGAGTAGGGGTTTCAGGCAGGTTCTTAACTGGGGGTGCTATCAGCTGGGAACAAAATGTCTATTGGTTGGGATTTGAATTGTTTGGAAAGGAAGGAGGCTGAGGTGGTTCAGTAAGTCTAGTGTCAGGCAGGGATTGGGTAAAATAAACATCCGGTGGCTTTGGCTGGGTAAAATTTGGCATTTTCGTAGATTTAGAAAAAGATGGGAAAAATTCTTTAGATTAAATTATTAGATAAATAGCACAAAAATATAAATTGTGAGAAGAAAAAAATTGTTCCGACTTCGCTTCGCGACAGTGATATCGAGCGATCAAGAGGGGTTGAGGGGAGATCGGTGGATTTGGAGTTTTTTATAAAGGATATCGAATATAAGGATATCGATGAATTTACAGAGATTAAGTTAGATTTGAAGCGAAATCGAGGGCTTAAGAGATATTACTACATGAATATATCACTTAATCCCTCAATCTCAGTTCTTAATCGCCACATTTGAACGTAACGCACATAATCGTATAGACTTGAACGTTTAGACTTGAATACCCTTGGCCTTCCAAAATAAAAAAATATTGCCTTCGGCGCTTAAAAGGCGGGAAATCTGGCACCTTGGCCTTCAAGATTTTTCAAAATTTTTGCCTGTGGCGCTTAAAATGGAAGAAGCCCAATCCCATTTATTCCTCCCCCCCCCCCATTACCTTATGCTCCCTTAAGCCCCTAAACCGGAAAGTAAATCATGCGTCTATGAGACTTTAACTCACTATTTCAGCACCGCAGTGAAATTTTAGAAGTATATTGAGTCATATGTGAAGAAAATAAAAATTTTAAATTTAAAAAAAAATTTTAGTAAATCCCGATCCCGATTTTTCAATACCGGTCCCGATTCTGGATCGGGATCTCCATTCCAAATCCCGATCCCGATTTCGGCCAATCCCGGATCCCGTGTCGGATCCGGGATCGGGATCACCATTCCAAAATCCCGATCCCAGGTTTTTCTCTAAATCCCGATACCGCTTAACTCTAGTCAAGACCAAGTAATTCACATAGAATCAAAAATTAGAATAAATATTTATTTAAATATCAGGACTTTATAATCAAAAATTATTTGACAAGAATATAGAGGTATTTAGTTAGATATACATTCAATTTCCTCAACTTCAGTACTAGCACTACTAAAATTCCCAGTTATCGTCCATCGACTGTTATCATTACAACGTAGAGTTGTTGATATAGACGTTGATCCAAATGTTGCCCCAACATCAGAACCAGAAGAATTAAAATACTTTTTTGAAATTTAAAAGTTTGTTTAAAATTTCAAATATCTCTTACAGACACAATTAAAGCTGTGCTGCCTGGATTGCCAAAACAACTTATTGTTAATGCTTCACCTTTAATTTTAATTTTTAAAAAATTTAATTAAAATTAAATTTACATCCATCTAAAGTATTTTCCCTTTCCAAAGACTGCCCAACATTTATGGAATTTGCATCACTTCTTCTGACAATAAGCATATCCCTACATTGTTGACATCCTAAAGGAGGGATAATAAAAGTTACCGTATTCTCTAATAGAAGCCCATCTCCAATAAAAGCCCATGTCCTATTAGAAGTCCACTCAATAGAGGGTATTGAAAAATAGAAGCCCAGGGCTTGTATTAAAGACAATACGGTATTTTGTTTTTATTGATATTTAATTAATAACACCTCTAGTATTATTGGTTGGTGTTGGGGATGGATTTGGAGTAGTTCCATTCACTAAATTTATTTTTAAATTAACAGAAAATTTTTTAAATTTTTAAATAAATTTTTTAAATAAATTAATCCGTCCCTGAATAAAACTATTTCTTTAGAATTCTTTTAGAAAATATATATGTATATTAAACTTTAATAATTTTTTATTTTCAAATTCAAAATTTTAAATTAAACTACCGTAATTAAACTATCCCTCTCTCAAATAATTACCCCCTCCCTATTAATTACCGCCACCAGCGAGAGGTTGAAACAATAATTACCCTGGATAATTATTTTAGCAAATACGGTAATTAGAGTTCGGAAAGGGATTTTAACAAGATATTCTGGCGACGTAAAGTTCTGATGTCAAGACTAGGCTTGCCGGCCAGATAAAAATAAGGCCCGAAAAAATGACTTAATGTCGGTCCAGTTCGAAAACGGCAACCCTAAATATTCCTTAGTTGTCTATTCCTTTCGCTCCCGCTTTCCTCTTCAAATTCCCCATTTCATGTCCCCTCATTTTTCGAAAATTAATTTAATTTTTAAATAAAATTAAAACTTTTTTGTTGTTGTTGTTGTAGATCTAATGTAGTATCGCTTAAAGTTAAAGGGTTACTTGAAGATGAAGTAGGAATACAGGCAGTATTATAATTTAAAAAAGAGAAGGTAATAATAATTATTTTAATTATAATATATTTTTCCATTAAAATATTTATTCTTTTTTTTAATTTTTATTTAATTAACAAGAAGAGAAAAAATGGAGAAATTCATTAAATATATTTCCTTTTGTTTATAAAGCATACTTGACATTCAGCTGTATTATTATTCTTTTTTTGGAGAATCTTTAAAAATTATCCATTTTTTTTTAAAAATGGATAATTTTTTTAATAAATTCGTTTTATTCAATAATTCAAAAATGTTAAGAATTGTATATTTGTAGAAAAATCTGAGTAATAAATTAAAAATTAAATATATTTAATTAAATGTTATGAAAATGATTAATAAATTTTTGTAAAAATTTAATGTTAAACCCACACAACTATTCTATATATAAGTCATTTAAATACTTATATTAAATAAAAATTTTGTTTTTATTCCAATTTTATCTTCATATACATATTTATAATAAATTCCAGATTATGGAGTGGAATTTATTAATTTATCCGTTTTATAACTTATCCTTTTTCATTTATATGAGAATTAAATGACCTTAATAAAAATATAACTTTTCATTAAAATTATTTCATCCAATTTTCAGTTATTTATAATTAATAATTCTTTATTTCAAAATGAAAATTTTTAATAAACTATTATCATTTCATTTACTATTCTTTATTTTAAATTCTGAGGCAAGATTAAAAGAAATAATTGAAGGAAAACAAATCTTAAAAGAAATGGTAATTTTTTAAGAAAACTGAATCATTATTTTAAAACAATTAGTACATATATATAATTTTATAGTGTGATAAGTCCGATTTTAAAACTGATATTGTCACATTGTTTGGCCAAAAATTATGCGATTGGGCAATTCAGTTTGTAAGCAAACCAATCATAGAGATGTGTCATGAAGCTGCAAATCTTTTAGCTGGATTGGCAGTTTGTGACAAAGGTTGGCAGCATTATAATAACATAATCATAAAAAAGTGCAAGCACGATATCCAATTTTGGGAAGAAATACTCTGCCCATCAACGACTATAAAAATTAATTGCTGCAAAAAAAATGCTAAAAAATCCGCTGAAATGTTACCTAGTTGTGAACAATTAGCTGATGCAATCATGGAGTTATCTATTAAAGTGTGCAAAGGTTCACGTGATGAAGGTCTCGAGGCAGCAAAAGATGGCTGCAGTTTCTCGATCAATCTTTTAATGGATAAACCAAAACAATTTTGTTATTCCTTATTTGGTATTAATTCAACCCTACATATATAAAAATACGATTTATCTATTTTTGAAAACGATTTATCTATATGAATAAACGCATAAAACATATTATTGAACTCTCCCCCAAAATTTCGTACCCTCCCCCAAAATATTCGTACACTCCCCCAAAATTTCGTACCCTCCGCCAAAATATTCGTACCATCCATCAAAACTTCGTACCCTCCCGCAAAATATTCGTACCCTCCCCCATAATTTAGTACCCTCCCCCAAAATATTCGTACCATCCATCAAAATTTCGTACCCTCCCGCAAAATATTCGTACCCTCCCCCATAATTTAGTACCCTCCCCCAAAATATTTGTACCCTCCCGCAAAATATTCGTACCCTCCCCCCAAAATATTCGTACCCTCCCCCAAAATATTCGTACCCTCCCCAAAATATTTTTACCCTCCCCCAAAATTTCGTACCCTACCACAAAATATTCGTACCCTCCCCCTAAATATTCGTACCCTCCCCCAAAATATTCGTACCTTCCCCCAAAATTTCGTACCCTCTCACAAAATATTCGTACCCTCCCCCAAAATATTCGTACCTCCCCCAAAATTTCGTACCCTCCCCCAAAATATTCGTAACCTCCCCCAAAATTTCGTACCCTCCCCCAAAATTTCGTACCCTCCCGAATTTTCATTGCAAATATTTAGGCAAAATGCTATTACGAATTTTTCGGATAAACAATTAGATATGCTAGAAATTATGCAAGCTTTTAGAAATACGAGAATGATTGATAAGCGTCCGTTAGGGGACCAAAAATCTATTTTCAACAAATTTAGCCAAATGTATACACCCTCAATTTCTGATTGGTTTAAAGAGATAAATTTTTGGGAATTATGGTTTAAGTTAATTACTATTATGGTAGCACTAAAATGGGCCTGGAAATTATATAATTATTATTATAGACGCATAGTTAAAAAAGAAATTAAAAATATTCTAATTTCCAAATTTCAGGCGGAGAGGATATCGAAAGTGGAAATGGAAGAAATTAGAGATGAGAAAAAGATAACTAGAGATGAAAGAAGGTGGTAAGGAAGGAACCCAAAATTTCGTACCCTCCCCCAAAATATTCGTACACTCCCCCAAAATTTCGTACCCTCCGCCAAAATATTCGTACCATCCATCAAAACTTCGTACCCTCCCGCAAAATATTCGTACCCTCCCCCATAATTTAGTACCCTCCCCCAAAATATTCGTACCATCCATCAAAATTTCGTACCCTCCCGCAAAATATTCGTACCCTCCCCCATAATTTAGTACCCTCCCCCAAAATATTTGTACCCTCCCGCAAAATATTCGTACCCTCCCCCCAAAATATTCGTACCCTCCCCCAAAATATTCGTACCCTCCGCCAAAATATTCGTACCCTCTCCCCAAAATATTCGTACCCTCCCCCAAAATATTCGTACCCTCCCCCAAAATATTCGTACCCTCCCCCAAAATATTCGTACCCTCCCCCAAAATATTCGTACCCTCCCCCAAAATTTCGTACCCTCCGCCAAAATATTCGTACCCTCCCCCAAAATTTCGTACCCTCCCCCAAAATATTCGTACCCTCCCCCAAAATATTCGTACCCTCTCCCCAAAATATTCGTACCCTCCCCCAAAATATTCGTACCCTCCCCCAAAATATTCGTACCCTCCCCCAAAATATTCGTACCCTCCCCCAAAATATTCGTACCCTCCCCCAAAATTTCGTACCCTCCGCCAAAATATTCGTACCCTCCCCCAAAATTTCGTACCCTCCCCCAAAATATTCGTACCCTCCCCCAAAATATTCGTACCCTCCCCCAAAATATTCGTACTCTCCCCCAAAATTTCGTACCCTCCCCCAAAATATTCGTACACTCCCCCAAAATTTCGTACCCTCTGCCAAAATATTCGTACCATCCATCAAAACTTCGTACCCTCCCGCAAAATATTCGTACCCTCCCCCATAATTTAGTACCCTCCCCCAAAATATTCGTACCATCCATCAAAATTTCGTACCCTCCCGCAAAATATTCGTACCCTCCCCCATAATTTAGTACCCTCCCCCAAAATATTTGTACCCTCCCGCAAAATATTCGTACACTCCCCCCAAAATATTCGTACCCTCCCCCAAAATATTCGTACCCTCCCCCAAAATTTCGTACCCTCCCCCAAAATATTCGTACCCTCCCCCAAAATATTCGTACCCTCCCCCAAAATATTCGTACCTTCCCCCAAAATTTCGTACCCTCCCCCAAAATAACGTACCCTCCGCCAAAATATTCGTACTCTCCCCCAAAATATTCGTACCCTCCACCAAAATTTCGTACCCTCCCCCAAAATATTCGTACCCTCCCGCAAAATATTCGTACCCTCCCCCAAAATATTCGTACCCTCCCCCAAAATTTCGTACCCTCCGCCAAAATATTCGTACCCTCCCCCAAAATTTCGTACCCTCCCCCAAAATATTCGTACCCTCCCCCAAAATATTCGTACCCTCCCCCAAAATATTCGTACTCTCCCCCAAAATTTCGTACCCTCCCCCAAAATATTCGTACACTCCCCCAAAATTTCGTACCCTCCGCCAAAATATTCGTACCATCCATCAAAACTTCGTACCCTCCCGCAAAATATTCGTACCCTCCCCCATAATTTAGTACCCTCCCCCAAAATATTCGTACCATCCATCAAAATTTCGTACCCTCCCGCAAAATATTCGTACCCTCCCCCATAATTTAGTACCCTCCCCCAAAATATTTGTACCCTCCCGCAAAATATTCGTACCCTCCCCCCAAAATATTCGTACCCTCCCCCAAAATATTCGTACCCTCCCCAAAATATTTTTACCCTCCCCCAAAATTTCGTACCCTACCACAAAATATTCGTACCCTCCCCCTAAATATTCGTACCCTCCCCCAAAATATTCGTACCTTCCCCCAAAATTTCGTACCCTCTCACAAAATATTCGTACCCTCCCCCAAAATATTCGTACCTCCCCCAAAATTTCGTACCCTCCCCCAAAATATTCGTAACCTCCCCCAAAATTTCGTACCCTCCCCCAAAATTTCGTACCCTCCCGAATTTTCATTGCAAATATTTAGGCAAAATGCTATTACGAATTTTTCGGATAAACAATTAGATATGCTAGAAATTATG